GTGTCGGGCTGTGTAAATCACTGCTGTCTGGAAATATTCCCCAGAGCTTCTCCTGACCTCTGAGCTTCAGGAACAACTATTCTCTTGACTTCAGTCCGTATAAGCACCACATGCTGTGAGATTTATGTGGTGTAAAGAGCTATAAACTAATTGTATGAGAACAAGATGCCAGTCTGGATGCTGCTGGTGTAGAAATAAAGATGATATGTGATTAAAAATTAAACTTGTACAATAAACACAGTGAAACATAACCTGCACTTTGAGAGGTTTTGCTGCGTTTCTGATATTTAAAAGCAAAGGGCAGGGGGGGGAAGTTTGTGGTTTTCTTGTTTTATGCTTTTTGTAGTGCTTTCAGTACAGCCTTCCCCTGCAGGAAGACAGTCAGCAGAGAGCTGTCTTGGGTAATTGCAAATGTTGTTATGGCTTAAGAGTATTGATGTTGTCCCCTTTACTTTGGGGACCAGGACAAGCTTGGGAGTGGTGTTTCATCTGCATTGTCTTCATGGTGTCTTACTATGATTCTTAGAGCTTTGCTGAATCTTTTGGAGGATACTGAAACATTCGGGGAATCGCTTCATGCTCCAGGTTGGGAAGTCTTGGGCAGATACAGTACAGCTGTGCTAGGTGCACACTAGTTGTAAACTCTTTTGGCTCCAGCTTCTGTCCATGTAAGTGGTATAACTAAAGGAACAAAGGGAAAGAACTGAAGATTCCCTGTTTAAATAGCCCATAATACTGTGCTGCAAAGGGCAGAGAAGAGAGGGGTTGACTCAACTGCTTTACACTTTACACTTGAAGCTCAAACTGAAAAGCCGACTTGGTCACCTGTAATCGAGAGTGACTCCAGGGAATGGGCCAAATTTAAAAAGGTAAAGACAACATCAATGTGTAAAGACAACATCAATGTGTATCCCCTTATTAACTAATTCTACCACCTCTAAACAAAACCCCAAAAGTTTTCTAGCCTGACTTCTAGGGTAAGCAGGAATTTCAGAATTTTACAGGGCATGTGTGAAAGTTTTATCCTCCTGCATCATTTGCTCTTCACAGATGAGATGTTTTATATTGCCAGCTTCTGACATCAAAATACACTTCTAGGTACAGTTGGCACTAATTGAAAGGATAATGAAAACTCATTTTCATTTCAACTTTCTCTTTGCACTCATAATCTTTAGAGGTTTCTGACAAGCTCCAGACAACATTTCTGTTCCTGATGTTGCAATCGCTGGTTCCAAATAACTGACTTGCTTCCTTACTCTTAATATACTTTAAAAAAAAAATAGTCTGGAATAGCAATTCTAGCTTGCTTAGAATCTAATCAAATAGGTGAATGTACCTTTTCTTTTTTAGTCTTGTGATTTAGGTTTTCTTTTAAAAAGATTTAATGCCCCAAGTGTTTGCAGCAGAAGTGCTCAGTGTGAGGGAATTACAGTGACAGAAACAGGAGAGATTCTTGTCTCGTTTGTGATTTTCTATAGTAATTACCAGAGCTTGAAGTATTTATGGGTTACATATAGAAAATGGCTGTTTACACCTCTGTTTCGTGGGGAACTCAAATCTATTGACTGCCAAACCCTAATTTACTGTTATCCCCAATTCCCAGGCTCTTCTAACCTCCATCAACCCCCCCGCTAACGAGCTGTGTAGCGTACCAGAAAGCCAGTTGCCAAGAACTGATTGAACCCCAAATGAGTTTTGTTTCAGCTTGTAAACTTTTGCTGATCAAATCACTGGTACAAGAAAATAGATTACTTGTTCCAGTTGTAAGAACTAGAATTATTTGGAGCAATGTTTCCTGAACTTCTTGGGTTAAGAAACTGCTGTCAGCCTTTAGAACGTCTCATGGATCACTGGTGTAACGGGAGGGAACGGAGGTGTGTTCATCAATCTCACTGTTAACGCTGCTCTCCAGGCTCCTGACTATGGCTTCATGGATTAGGAATGATCTGTGGAAAACATCAGGAAAGGCTGATTTTGGAATCTATCTGCAAGGCAAAACTGGAGTCCAGTTTAGAAAACAGTAGAAGGTGTTGCTGTGCACCGCTGACTCCCGTCGCTGGAGCAGACTGACAGGTTATGACCACGTGCTTCCCAGGTTGTCACCTTCTCCTGAACGTTGCCTCGAATCAGAGAGCACTCAGGGTGGTTGTTTTACCAGAGGGTCATTTTTTTTTTCTATAGGGTTTAGAGTTGCAAAGAAAAATTGATTGCATGGTGAAGATTAATTAGCGCAGTGAGATCTTCCTGATTGTACATGACCCTAAAATAATTGTGAAATGTCATTCTTAATAGTTACTAATTAGATGAAAGGAATATAAGGTTTGTTTTTAAAAGTACTGTGAACATAATTCACTGTTCTTCAAACCATGCAATAAAAAGAGGTAAGCTGTCACCAAATACTGCATTGTTTAATTCTGTGCCTGATTCTTTTGGATCACATTGGAGAGATGTAATTTTTTAGATATTAAGGAATGCTGATTAAAGGCACTTCTTTACTCAGATGCACTGTTGCAATTAAGCCTTATGTTGATACAAGGCTTGGATTATGACAGGAAAATCCACATCCAATTTTAGCATATCTTGATGTATTGGAGAAGCAAGTAATTATTGAGCATTCCTACCTCCTGCCATAGCATAATTGCAAAACTAATGGAGATGGAACACACTGGTCCTCATTTTCCCACTGGAATGAGTTGCAGGTAGATGTAGGATGGTTCAAATTGTATCCAGACTGTTGCCTTCCTGTTAGCATCACCTCAGTCTTGTCGAGGCTGGACTTCAGGCACTCCTTCATGCAGTAGCTGGCAGCAGCAAATCTCACGTCACTTGCAGGAGGGAGAGACAGGGCTCTAATACAATCAGGATCCTGAAAATAATTCCATTGTTCCATCTCCTTGTGTTCAGCCTGCATGAGAGGATGAATAGAGGGATTCTGTCATCACTGTATGTGGTAAAGTCCGAAAAGTCATACCTTTCACTCTGCTGAGCTTGGAGAGACTAGAGCTTCTCAAGCAGTATTTTCTGCTCCTGCTCCTGTCTCACCAGTTCCTCCTACTTGGAGTTCTCCCAGGCTGCTGCCAGGTCTGACAGTCGGTGTCAGACACCTGATCTTCAGCAGTTGCCAGGAACTCTAGTGTTGCTAATGCAATTTTTGTTCTCTAACCTGGCCTGCACCTAAAAATGTCAAAGATCATGAACATACTACATTGCTACATAGTCATTGTTTTTTCTTCAGATCTGAGGAGGGGTTAAACATGAATATGCAATGCAGGAATATCTAAATTCACACCAGTGAAGGTGAGTTCTGTGCTGTTTGAGATTTACTTCTGGTTATGAGGATGCTGATTGCTTTGTGTAGGCTTAATACATTTATATTGAGCCGAAATCAGCATAAGCAAAGGAGAAGAAATTATTAGACATCATTTGTCTTCTGATCCTGACCTTGCCATGAGATTTTCTATCACCAAGGACTGTTTGCTTCCTTCATAAAATCCGCTTAGTATTTCTGATCCCTAAAGGAGTTAGAAAACCATTTGTCAGTCACTTCAGACTGGGAGATTGACTGATTCATACTTGAGTGTGAAGTATAATGAGGAGCTGTAAAAAAAGAGAGTGCAAAGCAGACAAATACACAGTCTTTTAGAGTCATAGCTGGATCTGTCTTTTAGGGTTTGTTATGGGCTGAAAAGGATGGATCTTCTCGTAGTGGCAGGGGACAAGGTTTGCATTTGTTGAAAGCATCTCTGAGTGGGTTCATAACTGCTAATGTTGTAGTTGAGATCCACTGAAGCATCTGTTGGCTTTGTTATATTTTTTTTTTTAAACAGGGTAGATTTCCATTCTAGTTTATTAACCAAATTGCTTATCCTAGAATATATTTAGGTTTTTTGCAGATAAACATCTTGGAAAAAGTCAATTAAACCACTGTTTCCAGGAGGAAGCTGCTGTGTGGAAAGTACTAGGAAGTTCCTACCGTGAGCAGCTTACAAACTAATTGTAGTGAGTTCCCTGTAACGTTTGTTTGAATTGCATTTAACACAGTGGGGCTTTTATCCTGTTTAGGTCTTGCAGTTGCTGCTGGGTTAAACATATCCTCCCAGCACCATATTGTTCTCTGAACACTTTCTGACATGTCAATATTTTTCTAATAACATAATGTCTGGGATTTCAAGCATTACTTCAGGTGTTGTCATGGCCAAGCTATGTGGGGATAGTTTCTTGTTTGCTCTGTCTTGCATCACTCTCACAACTGGGTAAGTTAGACTTTCCCACTGTCGTATTACTGCAAAAAGCCTAATCTGGACCTGAGTTACCTGGAATCTTTCAGCAGACCTGCTTTCTTGGTCTTTTCACACAAAATATTCGAATGATTTTGTAAAAAATAGTGAATAATTATGTAAATATTTTAGCTTCCCAGTTCTTATTTTTTAATTTTGAATTCTGTTTTATTTTCTGATTCTGCGATGTGATTAATCTGTATCTTAACTTCATGCAGTTGTGGCAGAACGTTTTACTTAATGTGATGCTGAAAACACCTTGATAGCTGGCTGCAAAGATCTGTCACAATCTGCAGGGTTATGGCTGAGAACACCATGATACAGGCTTTAATTGTGGGGGGTTGTCATGCAAACTACAGCTTGTCCTGCTCTCTGAAGATGACATTGTCAGCATCAGTTAAAGATGAGTTGGAATCACGTTTGTGCCGTTTAAGTCTGTGATTTAAACTAGGCTTTGCACTGTAGAAAAGCGAAGGGTGGTCGTTAATCCTTTAGGACTGGATTTCAATTCATCTGAGATCATCTCTTCAAAGCAAAGCACTGTGGTGATGATGTATATACACTTCACTTTGCTTCCATGCCCCAGCTAGGAAGCAAAGCTTTAATGATTTCTCATTCCATTGACCTGATAGTCCTTTTAGATTGTCTTTGAGGTCACAGAAGGCGTCCTCCCTAAATACGCTCAGTCTTAATGCTGTAATTATAAATTAGTATTTTGATTAAATGCTTTCTTTTAAATATGGCTTCTTACAGGTGCAGCTTGTTGGTTTGGATGAAGAGAGCTCAGAGTTCATTTGCAGGAACACCTTTGATCACCCCTACCCTACCACAAAGCTTATGTGGATCCCAGACACCAAGGGAGTATATCCAGACCTGTTGGCAACCAGTGGTGACTATCTGCGAGTGTGGAGGGTGAGTAAATCCTCCCTAGAAAAAGATAAACTGTGATATTAATTGTGTTGCATGTTTCTCATTTTCACTCAAGACCAGATTTTTTTTGAAGTGAGTTATTTTCCTTTCTGAGTGTCTTGCCCTTGCTACAGTGTGGAGGTTAAAACATAAATTCAAGTCAGAGCACTTGATAACTCGTTTTTTTAACTGCCATAATGTGACTAAAACATGAAGACTATAGGAGAAGCAGAATTATGATGGTAGCTGCTGTTTTAATCACCTTATTGAAGACAGAGATGGTGATTGTGTTTTCCAGAGCTTTAGGATGTAAAGCTCAGAAGAAAGAAACTCCAGATTAACACCTTATGTTTTGGAAGTAGAACAAGTCATGTGGTGTTGCTATTTTAAGGCAGATGTTTCACTTTTTTTAAAGGTGGGTGAAACAGAGACCCGGCTGGAGTGTTTGCTGAACAATAACAAGAACTCTGATTTCTGTGCTCCACTAACATCATTTGACTGGAATGAAGTGGATCCTTACCTTCTAGGTGAGACTGACAAAATGCTACATTTCTGGCATGGAAAAGAGATGCTTTTTAATTTAACCTGACGAAGCCTGAGCTCTGACTGCTGTGTCATTGCATGTCACTGGTTAATCTGATAACTAACCAATGGACAAACCTCTACACCATAGAAACTGCCATTGTCTTAGGTTAAAATGATTTTTAAAAAAAATGGAGCAGCTCATGGAGACTTTTTTGCAGAATGGGTCACTTCAGTTGGACGAGGGATATTCCTTATTTGCAGATAGGGAGTCTCACTCTTCAGGGCTGGTGAGCTATTGTAGTGATGAGTAATGATGTACATGAACTCTATTTATTTTCAGTGTGATAGAAAACTATATATCAAGCTTTTTTTTTTTTGTGAAGCCATTTCAGCAGCAGGAGTAAAGCCAGGAGCCCTTAATTCGCTTGGAGGAGGGGGCTGAATGCTTGAGGTTTAATTATAGCCTATGGGACAAATTGTGAATCCAAGATGACTGATCCAGCATGTTTGTTTCCCAGAAGAGTACAACCATTTATGTCAGGGGGATTTGTCCAGAGATTAACAGTGATAATATGTCTTAGTAATTATTTACTACGTGATTTATTTTGTGTGTTGTATCTCTCATCTCTTAAGAGCTTTACTGCTAGCCCCACCTTCAGTCTACAAAAACAATTAATTACTAGTAATATGCTGTTGCAATGCTGTGGTTGAATTTTGGTTTTGATGTGAATATGAGGCTTGCAAGGATGAGAAAGTTCATCTCAGTTGCATCAGGCTTCTGAAGAGATTGAAGTAGACATGAGCTATTTACACTTTATTCCTGTGTGGAAGACTATTTCTGCAGCTAAAAGGTTTGGGTCATTTAAATGCGTGGTAGAGTGTTAGCTGTTTGACATTCTTGATTTTAACTGTGTGCTGTTTTTGTAGCTATTTTGATCTGTAGATGTTGGGGGATATTACATTAATCCAGTAAGTGATTAAATAGTTTGTGAGAATATTAATTTTGCTAACAAGTGTTTTTGTTTCAGGTACCTCTAGTATTGACACAACCTGCACAATTTGGGGTCTGGAGACAGGACAGGTTCTGGGAAGAGTAAATCTGGTCTCTGGCCATGTGAAGACCCAGCTTATTGCACATGACAAAGAGGTGATGGCTTTTTTGGTTGTTTACATTGTGTGTTTTAAATGTTAGAAAAGGAACAGAACTTTTATTATTTTTTTTTTCTCCCATTTTCTTGAAAAATTTAATGATCCAAAAAGTTAATTTATCTAAGATTAAGATACACAGTTTTGAGTACCAGACTAAAACAACACTATTGGCTATCAGAACTGCTCTGTGTACTCATCACAGAATCTGGACTTGAGAGTATGCTTCTTTTACTGAACTGTGCTCCAGAATGTTTCAGAAAAAATGAGATAAAATGTCAAACTGGAATTGAAATCAACTGCATATCAAAGGCCAGAAACAACTTGCAAGATTCTTTCATTTTAATGTAATATTACTTTTCAGCAATTAATATAAAAAAAAAAATCTGAGTCTGGGGAATTGATATGTTTAGTTTCAGTGAATGACCCTATAATGACATAACCCTTTTAAGGTTTTTTTGCAATCTTTTTTTGGCAAGCATAATAAATAAAAACATGCTAGAAACGTCAAGTATTTAACAGAATATGTTGCAACCAGATTTGCTATCCATATGTAAAATCCATTTTACTGCGAATGAGGAGACAATGTGCTCACTAAAACTAAGGTTGTGTTTTTCTGTCCTGTTACTGAGCAGGTGTATGACATAGCATTTAGCCGTGCAGGTGGTGGGAGAGATATGTTCGCTTCAGTCGGTGCAGATGGCTCAGTGAGGATGTTTGATCTCCGTCACCTGGAACACAGCACCATAATTTATGAGGACCCACAGCACCATCCGTTGTTGCGTCTCTGCTGGAATAAGCAGGATCCTAACTATCTTGCCACAATGGCCATGGATGGCATGGAGGTAAGGCAGCAGCTCATCTTCTGTAGGTGCTAGTGGTGTTTTTTTTGCGATGGGGCTTGGTACTAATTATTAGTCAGGTCTTTAAAAGTAAGAGGGCACATTCAGTACCTGAGCTGAAGTACGATTAAGGACTAATTCCACTGACTTCAGTAGGATTAAAGAATCATAGAATGGTTTGGATTGGAAGGGACCTTAAAGCTCATCCAGTCCCAACCCCCCTGCCAGCAGCAGGGACACCTTCCACTAGATCAGGTTGCTCAAAGCCTCATCCAGCCTGGCCTTCAACACTTCCAGGGAGGAGCAGCCACAGCTTCCTTGGGCAACCTGTTCCAGTGTCTGACCACCCTCACAGTGAAAAACTTCTTCCTAATATCTAATCTAAACCTCCCCTCTTTCAGTTTAAACTCATTTCCCCTTGTTTTGTCATTAGTTGCCCTTATGAAAAGTAGTATGAAAAGAAGTAACTGTGGCATTATAAACTTGAAGATCTCTGACTGGTGTATATTTCAGCTGTTTTTTAACAGAGGTCTGCGAGCCAGTTGGGCAAGAGTTTTCACATAAAATCTTAACTGCGAGTGTTATAGTCACCTTGTTCTTTCTCAGTTCAGCACACAAGGCAGTATATCTTATTTTGTCACTTGTGTAATTCATTTGCCCTTGGTGCATAACTCACAAGCCCTCCCTGTGAGGTCTGGCTCTTTTTGAGACACACTGACCAGCTAGAAGCTGTTTTTTGAAAACAATATTTGCTTGCCAACTGCATCCTTTAGGAAAGGGGCTGAATTTATAGCCTTGTCTCAGAATATTGGGTTTTCTGAAGAAACAAAAAAAAAATGCAAGTTATTAATTTAATTGGGGTTTTTTTGTTTCTGAAGGTTGTGATTCTGGATGTCAGAGTTCCCTGCACTCCTGTTGCCAGGTTAAACAACCACAGAGCATGTGTAAATGGAATTGCTTGGGCACCTCATTCTTCCTGCCACATTTGTACAGCAGGTAGGTGTGATCCATCCCTATCCAGCTGTGTTGGTGAATCTCTGGGAGTCTTTCACTGCATTTGTAAAATCCTCTGTGTCCAGAAGTTTATGCAGTTCTCTGCCTGCTTTTTGCTGAAGAATACCTGTTGTTTAGAAACCCTTTATGAATGATTTTCCTAAATTTTTTATGGAAATAGACACCCACTAGAGCTTATTGTGTGGATGTAGTGAGCCCAGGGCCCAAACTGTGCATCTGCTTTGGCTCAGCTATATTGTTATAATACTCCTTAGTTTTTTGCAGCCTAATTCTTCAGTGTTACAAGTTCCACTGATCATTTGTTTTTCAGCTCTGTCCTGGATAATGTATAATGATCCAAGCTTATTTTCTTGGAGCATAGTTGTATCACTGTATCTCTGTCCTGAATACTCATCAGGACTGCAACAGCCATATCCTATCCAGCTTCTTGGACTATATGCCTGTTAGCAGCCATGTATGGAGATCTCATTATACTTTGATTCTACTTCTCATTTTCTCTTCCATTTGCAGCGGATGACCATCAGGCTCTCATCTGGGATATCCAGCAAATGCCTCGTGCCATTGAGGACCCTATCTTGGCATATACTGCAGAGGGAGAAATCAACAATGTACAGTGGGCATCCACTCAGCCAGACTGGATAGCTATCTGCTACAACAACTGCCTGGAGATTTTGAGAGTGTAACATGACTGCTTCATGCCACATTGAGGCAGGGCTGTATAATTTCCCCTCCCCTCTAAAGTAAGAACAACACAAGTCAAGTGGCCAGTATCTTGTTGTTGCTTTGCATCTACTGTTACAAGAAACTGTTACAAGAATTAATGGCAGGTGTCTCCTGTCTCTCCAAGACTCTAAAATGCAGAGACGTGCTGAGCCTCTTGGACCTTCTGGGTTCTGGTTTTCTTTTTTGTTTTCCCCCCCTCCCCCTCAGTTAAAATTCTGTATATTTGTTTGTTGACTGTATTAATAAGCTTGCAGGCTTTTAAGTTGCTGCATATGTCCATGTGTTTGTCAGTCAGCTGAGGCAGCACATCCAAGTAGTTTAATAGATGCAAGTGCAAAACAAGGTGGGGGAAAAAAAGACACTGATGTTAACAGCCACCTTGGCAGGAATCTGTATCATTCCTGTTGTTGCTGTCTCTAAACTGTTTAAACATTTGTATGTTTTTATATATTGGGCTAACTTTCTATTGAGTGAGGTTTTTCTCCCTAATTCTTACTTTTGATATGTGATCCACTTCCATATGCCCAAAGCAGGATCTGTTCATTGATACAAATCGTGATACCACTGCAGGTTCTCTGGCAGTAAAGGCCTGCCAGAATTAACTGTTGCCTTGGCTCTCTATACCTGGTTGCCTGGGCAGAATTTTCTGGTGCTCTGAAGTACAAGTACTTGTTGCACAATTTCTTTACACTTTTCTGTTGCTAGAGGCAGTTGTTACTATGGTAGGCCTTATTTTTAAATTACAACTGAACTTGTGTGTATCCTGTAGTTGTGATAGGTAACAGAACGGTAAGAGGTTTCAGAAAGAAGATACGTGCATGGCTTAAGCTCCCAGGAGGTAGACAATTCCTGAAAAAATGTGATTTGTAATGGATTTGGGATTGACACTTTCGATCAAATGATTTCCCCTCGGAAGACTTACAATCTAAAGTAAAATAAAATGGTTTCACACTTTGTAGCTTGCTTGATTGGCAAATAACATGAGCAAGATTTTGTGGTTAGCCTGTACCTTGGAGCTTCTTTGCATTTGGCCTGTGTTCCTGGGAGTTCTTGAAAGGAGGGCAAAGCAATTTTTTCTTCCAAAGTGTACTTGCTTTGTACTGTCAGGTCTTGTTGAATGAGCGAGATGAGTTGGGAAAGCTGGTCCACTATCCAAATGAACGCCATTTGTCTGAAAGAAATTATTCCCTTATGTGATGCACAATGATGGGTTTAAAAGGAAAGAAACGGTGCCAGGGAGGCTAAGGTTTGTCACTTGTCATCCTCATATCCTTTGGGGATGTGCCCAAGGGCTTCTGTTTGTGTTTTGAATAGTGGGTTGCTCTACAGTAATACTTTTCCTTCAAAGCTGAGTGGATTAGGCAAGATAAAAATCTTCGTTGATAACAAAGCTACTCGGATGAACGCTTTGCAGTTCTCTCCCGATAAAGACATGACAACCAAAGCTGGTCTGTGAGGATATACCAGCTGACTTTTGATGTAAATGTCAGAAACTATCAAAATTGTCTTTCCACCTAATGAGTATTCACCTGCAACTGGAGGCAGCATTATAAATAGTAGAGCACTGGCAAACCTGAATCTTGTCAGTTTATGCAGGAAAGGCAAGTTGGGGAAAGCGATTGCTGTGAAACAGTGAAGCTGACACTGAAAGTGCTGTCAAATACAGAACAGGATTTGAAAAGTTTTGTCATTCTGGACATACAAAAATATTCTTCTACAGGCTGCTTCTCAACAGGGAGCTCAGAAAAGCACTGCCTTGTGAATTTGATAGGAATTCATTAGGGACAGCTTTATTCCATCAGCCCTTTAAATATCAGAGAGCCAAGAGACTCACACAGTTCAAGCTTGTGTTTTGTCGATGCCATTCTGTGTTCAGTTGTGGGAGTTTTGACAGAAAGCTTGATTTGACTTGAAGGTCAGGTTTTTTTCTTATTAGCAGCAGTGCTGAGAGCAATGTGTTCCACAGACAGATTTGATCTCGATGTCAGAACACTGTTAGCCAGACAATGAGGTTATTGGTTTTTACAATAGCACTTCATCTTAAACTGGAAAATAGTTATGCAGAATGAAGTGAAAATTAGGATTTTCTTAGCAGAAACATTCACAGCTTTTTATGTGAGTATCTGAATATGCACACAGGCCTGTCTTTTATGGTTTAATTACAAACAGTAGGCATAATATGCTGTGTTACGAAGAGGGAACTACCTGTAATATTTAGTACTTCCTGTAGTCCCCTTTATGCTTCAAATTCTTGTTCTTGTATAGATGGCATGAGTAAAAGATGAAGGCATTTGTTGCTTAGCTTAAAAATGCATCTTTTGCAACTGTAGAATTGTGCTTTAAAAAGCTGTAAGCTAATTTAATTGAAAGTGAAGTCCCTAACAGACTCCATAGGCTATACTAAATGGAAAATGCAGTTTATTCCTAGAGGAATACAATCTGTTACACTAAGATGATGAGAGGAGAACCTGTATAAAGGGGATAATAGTTGGAATAACGAGGTAGCTTTTACTACCGATGAAAAGCAATCCTGTTATGAACCTGAAGAGGATCTGGTGTCAGTTCTTCCATCTGTAAAACTGCTTGAAGTTCATTTGTGGAATTAAGTACTTATTCCAAACTCGTCAAAGACAAGGGAAGGAATCTTGTAGGCTCCAGTGGATTCTAAATAAAGCTTATATCCTGTTTGTTTAGCCATTTGGGGTACCTTCTGGATCCACAGCATATTGCTTTGGGCATAATCCATTGTCATTCTTCATATGAAATTACATTTGAAATCACTAGAGGCTGTTTTGGAACAGGGAAATGCTACTCAAAATAGCTTCTTTTCAAAGAAGTCACTTGAAAGGTTAATGACTGAAAAGACATGAGAATCCTCATGGGTGAGATGTTCCACAGTGCAAATGGCACTTCCATATAGAGAAGGAAGTGAGAGACTTTGGTGCCCTTTTGCCAGCACCTGCTGACACAGTGGCAGGGAGCTAACTCTACTTGCTGGTTCAGGTTTATTTGCAAGATAAAATAAAACCCTGAGACTTGGCACTGCAGCCTGTAAATCAAAAGATACAGTTTATTGTATTTCACCAGCTTAACAGTCAATTATGTTGGGTGTAAAGCACCCATAAGCATTATTTTTTCCAAAGTTTTTAGAAATAAATACCTTGATCTCAATTATTTAGTGCTTATTGCACAAGCAGAGCAACTGCTTTCAAATACCTCAGATCCCTGGAGTATAAAGTAGCATTAAGGGGAAAAGTCTGAGCATCAGTGAGGTTAGCGAAACAGAAAATCACATGCTATTGTTGGCACAGGCAAGACTGATTTTTGGGACAGGAATATTTTTCTCTCACTACTTCAGTAGTTTTGTATCACTTCTCCAGTCAATTAATTCAAGACAGTAGGCTGTTGTTTGGTTGTTATGTTCTGTTTAAACCAAGCTTTCCATAAATTCCTACTATTATGTGGACAACCTGTTGCTAGTACGTTGGCTCTCAGTCAGGAGACCTTGATCATGTAAAACTCATTAGTGAGGTGAAAACCTATGGAAAACAAGTTGGATGTCAAATTAGCATGTAGTATGCCAACTTAGTTAATTGTCTAAATGAAATGAGCTATGGTAGGCTGCAACTATGGGACTTGTATTTCTGTGTGTAGGGATTTAAAAGGCAAGGATTTGAGTGCTTTGACAATCTATTTAGAAAGAAAACACAGTGGTTTCAAAGAATTATATGAAAGGAGACTGATAATACAGGTTGTTCCTTATGGAACCTTGAAATGTACTTAACAGGGGAGGCATTGCCTCTCATAAGTCAAAGTTAATGATCCTTTCAAAACTAAGCTGTAATTACTCTCCTGAATGTTCTGGATAATAGTAAAAAGATCTATTTTTGCCTGGTGTTGCGGTGAGAAAGCTGCATCAGTCTCAACTGTAGATCAATGCCTGCCAGAGACGAGGTGAGGGGTACATTGGAATTCACGGTTGTTCTCGTGCTTGTTTTAAATGTAAATGCAGAAAGCTGAGTGTGTCTGTTTTGTTCTCTTGCAGATGGCACTTTAACAAGTATATTTTTGGTAAGATAGGAGGAGATTCATCTTTTCCTCAGCCCTTTTATGGTAGGCATTTGTCTGTGTTTTGTATAAAATGTTAAATACAATGAAACCCTAAACTGGCTGCAGTTGTCAGTATTTAGTGCACCCTCATCTGTTCCTACTGAACACCAAAGAGGAGAGCACTTGACAATACTGTTAATGCTGAACTGAAGCTCTGTATTCCAAGACTGACACAACCTTGCAAGGCCAACCCAAGTGATGTAGTGCTGCTTGTCACCTTTTTACTTTGCTTAGGAACTTGACAGTGTTTGGAAATCCTCTTTTCTACCATCTGAACATGATGGCAATAGTGGCAAGTCAGCTGTATAAAGATGTAGCTGGATTCTTTGGGTAACTTATTTTTGTGAGAGAAAAAAATGCAGCTGCTGTCTGTAAATTCACACAACCTAAATTCTTGAACTTGTCAGTTCCTTATGTTAGTGGTGTTTTAATTCTTTCAGGACACACTGGAAAGGATGAATGGCAGCAATGGTAAGCTTCTGGCTCAATAAATTGCACAGTTACGGTTCCATCCAAGTACTGAAGGGTTTAGTCTTCCCACTGCCACTTAGTAAAACGGTTCTACCACCTCAGATCCACATTGTGTTATCCTGCTGGTTAACACAAGTTCTCTCTGATACCCATGTCCTGCTTTCTGCTGTCAGACCAGTATTCCAGAGCAGGCCTGTATTTATTGTGCAGCGAATATTAAAAGGAAGTGTCCAAAATCAGTCCTGCAATGGGCAACGTACTGTCAACTATGTCCTAGTTTCTCTTGATCTTTGAATAGAATCCAGGGAACTAGTTGTATGTGGCCCTTAAAGAGCACTTTCTCATGCTTACCTAGAGATGGGGCTTTATTTCCCCCTGCTTACCCAAGAAGAGTCAGAAATGTCTCATTCTCAAGGATCTTGAGAGGAGTTTAGCATGACCCTGACTCCTTTTTTTTTAATTTTTTTTTTTTAAATAAGAGATGTCCAGAACTTTCCATCAGCACTTCACCAGCACTAAAAACCAGTCATTAAAAATGTAACTAAATACCAATCACTGAGTGCTCATCTGGTGATTCATGGCAGACTCCAGAGTCAAAGGCACTTGTGAGACTTGCATGCTACTGCCTGATTTCGGATAATAACTTTGCCTGCCAAGTATCTCAGTGGCCTTTGATGCAGCCTCTGATGCTCAGCATCAAGCCAGAATTTCCATAATCATAAAAATAAATTAAAAAAAATTCTATGTGGCTTCCATCAAGTTTATTTCTTTTCAGAAAATCTAACAAAATAAAGAAATAAGCTATTTCTTGGGAAAAAAAAAAAAAATAGTGTGGCCCTGAGTTGCTGTAAGCCTGTGTCCCAGCTCTCATCCCTTGGAGTTTGTTTTCCTGTTTGCAAGACGTGCGACTCTCAAGTCTCAGTTAGAGGTGAGGATTGGTCTGTCGAATCTGAACAAAGGCAGAAATGCAAGAGCCAGTGAAGGAGAGAGTCCTAGTACAGCTGAGAAGCGATGCATTGCTTTTTTTTTTTTGCTTTTTTTTTTTTTTTTTTGACAACCTGGTAAATATGAATTATAAAATCTACTATTTAAAAGGAACCTTTTTTTTTTAAAAAAAAGGTTCCTTTTAAAATGTAAATTTTATAAATCAAATTTACCAGGTTT